TGATGTGTAAAATGTATAACACAAAAATGTATAATGAACAAAGTGTATAATATACTTTGACGGACAGAGAGTTCTTACTTGATTTCACATGTTTTTATATTTCAATTAGTTACACCCCTTTGGAGAGGGAAGGAACTGAATGCAACTTATTAACCAATAGTAGGAGGGTCCACCCACCAGGGTAACCCGTTAGGAAAGTTTATGTTTTTTGGGAAGGATGGTAGTAGGGGGTTTCTGGGAATATAAGGAATTTCCTTTCCGAATAGTACCCTTCCCATGTGCATTGTCTCATATTTACTTAAGTATTGTATACCACTAGAAGGACCCAACACTGGTATGCTTTTAGTTACGCCAATATGTTTCGATGGTCGTTAAAATGATTTGAGGATTTATGGCTATCATAAATTTTCTTCATCCTTGAATGGAACCTTTTAAATAAACGATACCTTATAACTAATAGTTAACGTATTTTATAATATTTGATTTCATAAACTTATCGTATGGTTTTCTTCAATTGAAATTGAATATAAGAAAAATAAACTAAATATAAGTTTATTGTTTACAAATGATTTGGTATCGAACAACAATGTTTTGTAAGATTACGGAATAATTTATTATTAACAACGTTCTAATAATAAATTATATTTAATAATTACAGTTTTTCTTTCTGTGTGTGAATATAATTAAATTAATAAATATAAACGTATTACATTATTTTACATTAATATTAACAAACATGTATGTGCGTCGATAAACCACTCTAGTAATTTTTACCAAACTCATATATGCGTCCATAGCACTATAAGGGTTAGAAAAGGTTGAATCAAAAAATTGATATGATGTAAAAAATATTAATGATCAATTATTGTAAATAATATTACAGTATTATATCAGTAACTTAATATTGTTATATTTTGTAAGAGTTCAAATGTATGTGTGTGTGTGTGTGTGTATGTATTCTTTAAAATAAAACCTTAACAGACCCAGGGCAAGATTCTCTAAATATGTCTGCCAGTCAATGGGTTAATTGAGATATGATTGAAAACTAGACTCAGGAACTAGACTCAGGAGAGTTTTATGTCAAATAGTTATAAGAATACTGGAAACTGATGTAAAATAATTATATAAACTTATGAAAATCCTTGTATGCGTTAAGTATGTATGCGTAAAAAGCGTAATGCAACAGGAAGATTTGAATTAACTTGTGTCAAAGAATGAGGACGACATGATCCCCTCCAATTAGGGTCCTTTTGGTTTATTTAAGCTCACAGATATATAGTGATATCGAAAATCCGTTTGTTTCGATGACTTATAGTAGGTAAATACGAAAAATAGATACTACGAAAGTTACTTATGACTTGACTTATTGGTGCTTATTAGAAAATATTAGTTGCTGTGCATAATTAGTTTGAATGTGAATCATTGGTAAGAATTTTGGAGACTATTAGAACGATTCTAAGTGTTCCTGTTACATTCGCAGATCTTTCTTGTATTAAACTTTTGTAAACAATCAAAATGATCATATCATTATTAAATATTTTGTGTATCAATACTGTGGTAAATCATAATTTTTATAAACCAGTTCAATTTCCTCATTCCATCATTGTTTGTCCTACCAATACATAATCATTTTGCATAACTTGATTTCTTCATCGTTGTTTAATCTTTAGAGGAAGGAACCTGCTTGATCTGGGCTAAAGTCTATGAATGCAGAGTGGTTGCAGCAGGCTTAGCACAACTACTTAACAATATTTGACAATTAGAACCAAACAATGGTATAAAAATCAACAACAAATGAATGAAACGCACACACAATCAGATTAATAATTTTAATTATTTTATACCTTAGTTATATAAAGATTTAATATGATGATCTGCACAATCTACTACTTCCACATTTTTTGTGTAATTTTATTGTTTTTCGCGTTTCCCTGTATTAATTTTAATAATACTAGTGTCAGAATAATTAATATAACTTTGAAAATGTTCAATATAAAACTCATCATCACTACTGTATATTTTCTTCATTCATTTTTTCACGTTTTATTAAATTTATATTATATTTCACAAGACACCGATTAAAAATAATAAAATAAAGTGAAATGTTTTATTTGAAAATGACGGCAGATGTTACTACAAGTACGATTTTTACTATAAGACACTGGCTTTTATGCAATAATCATAACATTGCATAATTCTGACAATGGCACCGTCGATTGGAGTGATAAGGGTAAATATTTTAAAGCTTCTGGTTTCTTATTAGCTTTTAAACTTATAATTATAGAAATTGTGACATACACGAATGATATTGTTTTGTTAAGGGACAATAAAGAGTCTTTAATTAATAACGTGACAATATAATATTATTAATACCTAAAAATATATCAACTGTAATTGGTCTAATATCTTTAGAGTAACTAATATAATTTAGTATAAGTGTTTTCATATTAAAAATATGAAGAATGCATGCTATATTAGAGCAACAATTGTTTTATTAACCATAGTAATTATTTAAAACTTAAAAAACGTATATATAAAAATCACGCGCACTGTGCACATCGTAAATAAGTAATAATTAAAAATCCTGTAATCGATATACTTCATTTTTAATCCTTACTGTGTGCTCATAGATCACATGCATAATCTCCATATTCAACTATTTTACTACAGATACTTTTGCAGATGATACAGCAATGATTACAGTAAACAAAGACCCACATCAAGCAATTCACTCATTACAAAAACAAATCAACTATCTTGAAGAATTGTTACGTGACTGGAAGATCAAGGTAAACACTATCAAATGTAAATATATTTCTACGTTTACACTAAGAAAAAATCAAATACCTGTGGGGGTTCAAACAAAGAGCAATAATAATGATAATATTAATAAACTGAACTGATGATGAACTGAAACAGGTGTGTGTGATAGTTTATTTAATTAATTATAATGTCGAGCAGTATTTACAGAAGTTTACACAAAATGGCATTGTTACAAAAATACAGAATACAAAAGAGTTACAAATATAAGACCGACTGACTTATTTGCAGAATAACAGATAACACACAGACAGATACAGATAGACTAACTAAGGACTGAGGACTAAGGACTGATTAAAAAACTAATTAAGGACTAAGGACTAACTAACTAAGGACATTTTCTTACTTCTTTCCACATATTTATATCAGAAATGAGCTACACCCCTTTGGAGAGGGAAGGAAATTATGAATCTTATTGACCAATAGCATAAAGATCCACCCCATACTCCACCGATGGGTACAGCCTATGGTTTTTGATAGTGGTAAACTATGCATAAAGAAACTTGATCTAGAATATCGGAATGATATTTCTTTTTATGGTATCGTACGTGCTTAAATACGAATCTGAAACTCCTCAAAGGTCCCGACACTGAACAAAGGGTTTTCATCGCACCAATATATCTCGATAATTCTTAGGTTTGTTTATGATTTTATGGCCCTCCTAATCTTTTCTTTTAGTCTCTGAATAGAGTTTTCCTTTTCAGAAAATAAAATATAAAGAAAAGAACTGAATACTAGCTTTTTTCACCTACATACCAAAACTAAAACTATATTATACAGAAATCTCGCAAGTAACGATGGTCAAATACTTGGGACTACATTTAGATTCTAAACTAACATGGAAAAAACATATAATTGCAAAAATTGAACAGATTCGTTTAAAAATGAGACAAATGGCTTGACTAACCTGCCAAAAATTCTAAGCATAGCATAGAGAACAAACTATTAATCTACAAAACAATAATATAACAAATCTGGACATATGGAATACCATTATGGGGTATAACAGCAGAAAATTATATTGCCCAACTCGAGTCTCAACAATCCCCATCACCCACCCTATGTACATACAATCATGAATGCTTCATGGTAGGTCCATAACAAAGAAATAAGAAAAGACTTAATTATTCCCACGATAAAAGAAGAAATAACCAAGACAACCAACAAATATTAAAGTATTTTTTTGTTAGGTTATAGTAAGTATTTGAAAAATCGTCAAAAGAGTTATATTGAACACCCAGTATATTCTATTATATAATAATATACAATAATATTTTTTTTATTTTTTTTTTTTTATAATATATTATTTTTATTATTTTTTTTTATTTATTATTTTTATTAATTACTAATTTGTTCTATTTTATTATATTTTATTTTACAGTGAAAGTAGAAACTAACCATGTATCGTTAAATTCATCTTCGCACTGTTAGAAGATTCATGAGTATTAATTATACACTCATACTCTCCCTCATCTTCTTTCATCACATTCTGTATGATCATTTCTCTGGTCAGGGTTAATAAACTCCATTCAATCCATTCGATTTCCAGATGTTGACTTATTCGTTTATTCTACCAAAATATAATTCCAAATTATATTTATATATGAAGTTATTTTCTCTAATATTTCTCTATAATAATAATTAATTTGATTAAACTTACATCATTTGGTAGTACCCATTTAAATTGATATGGTATTACTTGTACATCCAAATCAATCGTACAATTGACATGCAATGTTTGACCATAAGTCACGTGTCTCAATGTATCCATTATGATTTTTGGTTTACTCACTTTGGCTATTAAAATAAAAATCAATTGAATTATTTTTATATATGTATGTATGTGTGTATGTGTAGTATATATTTCTTTTCTATTCATCAATTTTAACAATATTTACATGTGGAATTTAATTTCAAAAATTAAAATCGAACTATATTACATTAATATAAAAATAAAGAAAAAATTATTTTAGAAAAGTAACAGAACAACGTGTATTTTTTTTTTTTTTTTA